AGAAATTAAAGATGATAGAAACAGATGGAGAGATATACCATGTTCTTGGATTGGAAGAATCAATATTGTGAAAATGACTATACTACCCAAAGGAATCTACAGATTCAGTGCAATCCCTATCAAATTACCAAAGGCATTTTTTACAGAACTAGAACAAAAAAATCTTAAAATTTGTATGTAGACACAAAAGACCCCAAATAGCCAATGCAGTCTTGAGGGAAAAAAACAGAGCTGGAGGAATCAGACTCCCTGACTTCAGACTATACTACAAAGCTACAGTAATCAAGACAATATGGTACACAACACAAAAAACAGAAATATAGATCAATGGAAGAGGATAGAAAGCCCAGAGATAAACCCACACACCTATGGTCAACTAATCTATGACAAAGGAGGCAAGGATATACAATGGACAAAAGACAGTCTCTTCAATAAGTGGTGCAGGGAAAACTGGACAGCTACATATAAAAGAATGAAATGAGAACACTACCTAACACCATACACAAAAATAAACTCAAAATGGATTAGAGACCTAAATGTAAGACCAGACACTATAAAACCCTTAGGGGAAAATATGAGGAAAACACTTTGACATAAATTACAGCAAGATCTTTTTTGATCCGCCTCCTAGAGTAATGGAAATAAAAACAAAAATAAACAAATGGGACCTAATGAAACTTAAAAGCTTTTATAAAGCAAAGGAGACTACAAACAAGACAAAAAGACAACCCTCAGAATGGGAGAAAATATTTGCAAATGAATCATCGGACAAAGGATTAATCTCCAAAATATATAAACAGCTCATGCAGCTCAATATTAAGAAAACAAACAACCCAATCAAAAACTGGGCAGAAGACCTAAATAGACATTTCTCCAAAGAAAACATACATATGGCCAAGAAGCACATGAAAAGCTGCTCAACATCACTAATTATTAGAGAAATGCAAATCAAAACTACGAGTTTTCATCTCACACCAGTTAGAATGGGCGTCATCAGAAAATTTACAAACAACAAATGCTAGAGAGGGTGTGGAGAAAAGGGAACCCTCTTGTACTGTTGGCAGGCATGTAAATTGATACAGCCAGTATGTAGAACAGTATGGATGTTCCTTAAATAACTAAAAATAGAAGTACCATATCACCCAGCAAACCCACTACTGGGCATATACTCAGAGAAAACCATAATTCAAAAAGACACATGCACGCCAATATTCACTGCAGCACCATGTACAATAGCCAGGTCATGGAAGCAACCTAAATGCATGTGGTACATATATACAATGGAATATTACTCAGCCATAAAAAGGAACGAAATTGGCTCATTTTGTAGAGACATGGATGGATCTAGAGACTGTCATACAGAATGAAGTATGTCAGAAAGAGAAAAACAAATACCGTATATTAATGCATATATGTGGGACCTAGAAAAATGGTACAGATGAACCTGTTTCCAGGGCAGAAATAGAGACACAGATGTAGAGAACAAACGTATGGACACAAAGGGGGAAAAGTGGTGGGGGGTGGGGCGGGGTGTGGTGTGATGAATTGGGAGATTGTGATTGACATATATACACTGATATGTATTAAATGGATAACTAATAATAACCTGCTGTATAAAAAAATAAATAAAATAAAATTCCAAGAAAGAAAAAAATGGCCTCCCATTTAAGCCATCATTTTATTTGGCTGAATAGAAAATGTCATTATTTTCAGCATCTAAACCCCAGGAAAGTTCTTTCCAAATTCAAACAGACTCTAATGTGTGCATTGCCCTCTGCTTCTGCATGTGCATCAAGGAAGGTCACACTGCCAGCAACTTTTTACAGAATAGTCACCTTTATTTGAAAACAGTTTTCTTTTTCATCTGAATACCAAGGTCACACCCAAGTCTTGAAAAAACATAAGCTCCCACAGGCATAGGTGTTGTGATGACCATTGCGTGAGACACCAAGGCATCTTGAGAAAATGATGAATCAGAGAGTGGGGGGAAAGGATCATTCCAGGCCGTAGTCAAGGTCAACAAGAGGTGAGATAATTCTGACTTCAAACAACTCTAGATGTGGGATTAGGCAACATGCTTACACAGCAGTCATTTTCATGTAGCTAAACCAACCAAATATCCAACAATAGATTCTGAAGGGAAGAGAATGATCTGAGTTGACCTAGCCATGCAACCTCAGCAATGCTTCCTAAGTAATTGCTAGCCCTCCCGCAATTCTGACTGCCTGTACTGATGTCAGAAGTAGAGTTCATTCATGCATTCAACAAATTTTAGTGAGTACCAAATATGTACTGGCACTTTTCTATACACTGAGGACATAGCCATGAACAAATGAGATAAAAATCCTTGCCCTTGTGGGACTCACATTCTAGCACGTCACCCTTGTATGGAGAAAAGTGCAAAGAGTTTCACCTTCTATCCAATGGGACATATTGCTTTTCTGAATAGCCCCCAAGGGACATTTTGCACAAGAGTCTAAGCCACAGCTGAGCCAGCTTTCTCCTGAACCCCTGTTCCTCCATCGTATTCTCTGTGCTACGCACAGCACAGGGTAAAGCCAAGGCAGCCTGGAGCTTTTTCCTTAATGTGCCCTCACTATCAAGCCTAATGACTCCTAAAACCTCATGGCAAAAATGCTCATAACTTTGAACCACTTCTGGGAATCCTGGCTAAGAGAATAGTGATGACTTCTGAAAAAAATTTAGGTGCAAAAATATACATCACAACCTTATTTAGCCAAAATAAAAAGACAAATTAAATGTCCAATATAAAATATATTTTTAAAATATTAGATTTATCAAAAAACTATAGATTAATGGATAAATTATTGTTTTTAGATGAAATAACAAGCAGCCACTAAGATGATATTTACAAAGATTCTATGATAATGTGGAAAAATATTTATTATAGACAGTAATCAAGCAGAACTAAAAACTACATATATTCAATATAGCAAGCATGTAGAAAAACTGACCAAGAAAAATTAGAACCTTGATGGAAATATTCCAAAACATTAACAATTAATGTACTTAAGTGTTGAAATTATGGGAATTTTTCTACATTTGTACTTTTCATTTTTTCTTTAGTAAACATTCATTATTTTTATAATTAAAAAATAATTTTAAGCCTAAGTATAGTTTTTAAAAGGCAAGAACAAGGCAGCAAGAACAAGTATAAAACAGTTTATCATGGTAGCTAAGAGCCTGAGATCTGGATTCAGATTCCCTGGGTCTGAACCCTGGCTCCCTGGTTACTTTGTGACCTTGGGCAAGTTATTTAAGCTTTTCTCGCCCCAGTTTCCCACCTGCAAAATGGGAGTGATAATAGTGCTTCTTCAGTGGGCTGGTATGAGGATTAGTAGATGCCTCACAGAGTGTTTAGCACAGAGCATAACCTCTTGTAAGCACTCAAAATGATAATAGATTCAATAGTCCAGTGGCCACAAAGAAAGAGTTCACACAAAGGGAATGGTGGACAAACATCACAACTTCATTCCTTAGGGACAACTCACTCACCCTGAGTTGTGTTTTCTGTGGGGAATTTTCCCTCAGGCAGATTCAATCCCCAAATCCTCTAAATTTTACATTTTAAATTTTCCCCTGAAGAAGGTGAACAGTATGTTGATATTCATTTTATGAATAATTACTTCCTTGGTTTTTTAAATGTACTTGTCATAATTTATTAAGGCAAAGTACCTTTTGGCTTTAAAAACAAGTCTAAAACTTATGTTAATAGGATTGTCAGAAAGCACTAATCAATACTGTAAGATGAAATGAACTCATAAAAATATTGTTTATGGTGCTAACAGACAGTAGTTAATTAGAAGTTAAAAGTAATTGCCTGATAAAATCACATTTTTCTGTCAAATGTCTTTTCCAAAAACAGTGAAATCAAAAGCTGGTCTCTTATCTCCTACACCCAACATCCTTCTTTCTGTGCAAATTAAACCACCTAAATCTGGATAAAATAAAATGGTTAGTAAATAGCTCCAGAAAGGACACCCATTTATGAAATGGTTGCTTGGCAATAATTATTAAAAGAGTGAGAATCCAGTTAAAATTGCACAAATATTAAATCTTGATCAGTAAAAAAGATCCAGAAGAAGGGATTATATGGAAAGAGAGGTTAAAACTTGTTTCTCTACACTTCCTTTTCCAAAATGAGGCATCACTTTTCCCTTATGATCCTTATGAGGGAGGATCATGCTTTTCAGCTTCCAGAGGAATTCTTTACCCTAATTTCTAATCTAGATTTCCTTGATTTTTTTTACCCCATGAATTCTCTATGCAAAATAAGGCTGTGCCTCTGTTCCAGTTCTTGATTTGGTTTGGCAACTTTTCTCTGTCCATGGATTCTGTTTTCTCCTTGCAGAGTACCCGCCTGCTTAACATGGTGGAAAAGTCTTAAACCATGGAGTTTCACAGGCTTAGATTTTAATTTGGCTGGGCACTGGCTGTATCATCTTCATTCAGTCACTTAACCTCACACAGCCTCAGTTCCTTTGTCTATTAGTGGGCACAGTAAATACATATCTCACAAGGTTACTATGGGGCTACATGGGACGACAGAAGGTAAATGACTAGGCATGGTAGGCAACTGAATCTTGAGCTCTTCTCTCTCCCTATGAGTCTCTTTTGAACATCTATTCTCCGAATCCTGAAAGCCCTTGGTTTCTTTCCTGTCTTTCCTTCTCAGAGCAGAAGGTAAAGTTCTCCTGAATTTGGGATTTTTAATTCAGAAGAACATTTGAGCTCTAAGTTAATTTCAACCCATCCACACTTTAGTGCCAGCGGAACTTGCAACGAGTTGGTGGTGAGCGCGGTCCCTTTTCGGTGGGTCCTGAGAAGTGGGACTCTTGCTCAGGTCAGTGGGTTCCCATCACGTTCTCTTTCTCACCGTTAAGTCCAGGGTCTGGGTCTGCCCATCTCCCTGCGGAGATACGTTGATCCAGTCCCTCTGAGCCGAGTTTCCTTCGGGAGATGCCAATACTTAGACTCCCTCAAGATCTCAGAACTAGCCCGCCCCCACCCTGCAAAGGAAAGGTGAAGGAAGAACGAGAAGGGGTGGTGCGCAAGACGCCACAGGTGACGAGAGACGGCGCGGAGTTGGAGAGGTAACTGTCTGAGCCAAGAGCTCTGCCCAGCTTGAGCTTTCCAGCTTGCCTCCCGCTCCGCTCCACCGCTTTCCCCCGAGCAGGCCAAGGATTCGAAGCGGACCCGAGACGCGCGCAGGGCCGTGGAGAGTGAAGGCGGCGTCTGCCCGCTATCGCTCCTCCACTAGCCCGCGTCTGGCCCGCAGCCCCGGCCCGGCCAGGTGCTCCCCTCGCGCCGCACTCCGCGTTCCTTGCAGCGGCTCGCGCCGCGCGCTGCGCTCCTGGACGCCGGGAGCCTGGCAGTGCGCTGCGCTCCGCACCCTCAAGGGAAAACGCTATGCTACCTGTGGAAGTAATGTGCGCAGAAGAGGCCCAGAAGCACAGTCGCAGGCTGGCCGAAGAGAGAGCGGGGCTGCCCGGCGAGCATCCCCGCGGGCACCGCGAAGGAGGGCAGCTCCTGCAGGAACCAGGCGGCGCGGGCGGACAGGCGGGTAGCCACGGGCATCCGGCTCTCCGTGTACTTCCCGTAGCCGGCGGGCTCCGCGAGGCACAGAACCAGTGCCCCCAGGACGGCCAAAGTGGCGCTGCCTGCCAGCACCGGACTCTCCTGGCAGCGAACGGACATTGCGCCCTGTTCCCCGCTGGTGGCCGCTGCCAGCGCAGAAGAGAGCGCGGCCCTCGCCGCCCCTTTATGGAGAGCTAGACGCCACCCCGTGTCCGCCCCTTCGGCCTTGGCTCCCGCCCCTCCATCCTACCTCCCACCTCAGAGCGGCCAGCCTTGGCTAGGCTCAGCAGCGATTCCCCTTTCGCAGGGCTGGCACTTAGGAAAGCAGCCAAGCGGAGAGTGGATGAAGGCTTTCGCGGAGCCAACTTAGTGTCCTGCGCCCTTCCTTTAGCCCATATTCGCGCCTTCGCCCGCGCGTCCGCCCCTCTCCACATCCTGCCACTGCTCTCTCCTTCTAACTCTACCCTTCGAAGATTTGTTCTTCACCCATCAACCTCTGATGCTGCAACTTCTGGGACTAGGAAATAGAAAACTACAGGTACGACTTAGCCAGGGTTGTTCTCCCGCCCTAACACACACCCTCTGTGTGGTCGCCACGCAGTCCCCACCCTCTGACCATCCGCAGCCAGAATCTCCCCAACCCCTCCGGTTCCCTGTGCTCCTTCACTCTCCACCAGCTTCCACGCAACCCTGAATCCTTCCTTCGACTCTGGGCCCAGCCTCCAGACACTACCCGCGTCCCCCAGGCCTTCTGCGCTGGGGCGCCGCTCTCCTTGGTCACTTTCGGCATTAGTGGCCCCTCCGCACCACCTCGCCCCCAGGCAGGTACCAGCCTCTCCCCATCCTCATTTCCTCTGCTTTCTCTCTGCTTTGAAGAGACGAGTCGACTGAGCGTGGGCGTGGAAGCACGGATTTCGACCCTGAGTAGTGATCCTGTCTCTCTGCCCTAGCCTCTCCTCTTCCCCGGGACTTCCCGAGCTGGTCCAGAATCAGGCTCATGTCTAGGGCTTCAGCCGCGGGACACCCTCTCCCAGCTCCTGGAGCGGATGAATCCAGGTCCATATGATGTTGCCCTTCGAAGTGCAGCTGGGCTCTAGAACACCTAAGACGCGGTTCTTTCTCTCTCCCTTCTATTTGCTGCCCTCCTGTCATTCTTCACCCCCTCGTTCATTATCTGTTTCCTCTTCCCTTCTCTGATTCAGTATCCAGACTTCCTTAACTGCCTTCTTCATATATTTTGTACCCCTTTTTTCCTCTTCTTTCTTTAATCCAGTTTTCTCCTCCCAGGTTGGCCTCCTCTTCCCACCTGCTGTTTGCCTCCCCGCCTTCTTGTCCCACCTCCCTTGATTGCTTCATCCCTGTTAATTTTCTTCTCTTGTCCCTACTTCAGGCTCCACCCATCTTTCCCTTGCTCTCCCTCCCCTTTCTTGGGCGCTTTCTTCATCCTTCGCCCTTTGCTCCCACTAACTGCCCTTTGCTCCCACTAACTGCCGCTCAGGAGCGCCACTCAGTATTACTCCATCCACTCGTGCCCTGTCCTACCAGCTATTCCAATGAAAGGTACATGGTGTTTCATCTGCCCAGTTTGAGGTTGTTTCCTGATTCCTGGGACACGGTGGTGTATGGTGATGCCCTCTGCTTGCTGAAGAGGTATTCACCACTTTCCTGGTGGGTTAAAAATTAAATTGTAAATAGGCTTCAGTTTTCAGTTGACCACCCTGTAGGAACCACCCATATTGGCTGAAGCACTCTCCATGGAGTGGCCAGGCTCAGCTCTCACAGCTACCTAGAGCTGTATTTGCACTGGCTTTCCAGATCCAGTCCCAGATTCCTTATTTACTACTTGCTAGTTGAGAACACCCAAATCTAGACCTCCAGCAAAGACCAGAGCTTCTCATCTGCGTTTCCTCCCTGCTGGACAACTCTACTTGGATATCCTTCAGAGACCTCAAATTCAACCCTACCCAAAACTAAACCTATTTATCTTCCCCTCCACTCCTCCACCCACACCCAGATCCTCCCTGTGTGTTCTTGGTTACCTCTTCTCTGTCCAAAATAGCCATAGCCTCCCTGGGAGGCTGGCTTGCAGACTCAGGAAATTCTAGATTTCTTTTTTTTTTTTTTTTAAGATTTTTTTGATGTGGACCTTTTCTAAAGTTTTTACTGAATTTGTTACAGTATCGCTTCTTTTATGTTTTGGTTTTTGGCCATGAGGCATGTGGGATCTTAGCTCCCAGACCAGGGATCAAACCCGTACCCCCTGCATTGGAAGGTGAAGTCTTAACCACTGGACTGCCAGGGAAGTCCCTGTATTTCTTGATAACATACAGTATCAGGATAATAGGCAGTGTGACATTTCAAACCCAACTTGATGGAATACTTTTTTTTTAATGAAACTTCTCCTGTCCCAATTCTCCTCTCTTTTCTTACAACTTTGCCCAATTTTGGTCCTCATCATCTCTTTTCCACTACTGTATCAGTTAGCTTTTGCTGCATAACAAACTACCCTAAAAGTCAGTTATCTTCAGATTATGTATCTGTGAGTCAGCTGGAGGTCAGCTGTCCTAGGCTAGGCTTGGCTGATCTTGCCTATGCTCACTCATTCATCTGTTGAGCAACTGAGAGGCCTGCTCCAGGCTGGGTTTGGATGGAGAACCTTAGCTGAGACAGCTCTGTTCCACATGGCTCTGGTCCTAGCATAAGTGAGCTAGCCCCACCATATCTATACAGTCTCAATAACAGAAGTACAAGAGGACAAGAAACACAAAAGACCTCTTGAGGCTCAGGCCAAGAACCAGTACACTCTTATTTTGTACTTTTTCTGTTGTCTAAATCAAGTCACATCGTGGATTCCAGAGTCAGAATAGGAAAGTATTGCAAAGTTACATGGCAAAGGACAGGGATCCAGGGAGAGGTAGAGAATTGGAATCAGTAATGTTACTGCTCTGAATTACATGCATAAAGAAAATGCTCAGATTGGAAATATACAACTTGATTGATTTGCGCAACCTGAACACATTCTTGCAACCAGCACCTAAGTCAAGAAACTGATTGCTAGCATACCAGAAGCTCCCCTCAGGCCTCCTTACATCCCCTCCCAGAATAACCACTACCCTGACTTCTGACATCATAATTAGTTATGCCAGCTTTTGAACTTTACATAATATAATCATACAGTATTTACTTTTTGGATGTATTTTAATGGTACTGGAAATTTATTTTAATCAGTATGGTGAGGCATGCAGACATGGAAATGACCATCATGAAGGAAGTTTATACTCACAGATCCCCAGAAACAGGAGACACAGCAAGCCACAAAAGACCACAAAGGGAAGAATCAGGATCAGTCAGTAGGCAGAGGGAGTGACAGGAAATCATGGACAAGAGCTTTATTGTGGCTTCTGCAGGAAGGAATGGACAAGGTAAGGTAAGCAGACTTAGGATTGGCTAGTTTGAATATTTTCAGTGGGCTGTTGGTTGTAGGGGTTATTTCTAGTTGGCTGGTAATTGGCACTGGGGTGATTAAGTCAGGCGAATAGTGGTCCAGAGTATAAGAGCTTGATGTAAGAGATTATTGGGGTATGGCTGGTGTGTGCATGTGTGTGTGTGTGTGTGTGTGTGTGTGTGTGTGTGTGTGTGTGTGTCAGAGAGAGGAAGAGATCACCTGGGAAATTCAGTAGTGATCCCAGAAAGTCACGCTTTAGTGGTAGGAATAATTTATTTTTACAGTGAAGACTACCTTCCTAACAAAATGTTCAATCAATGCCCCCAAAAGATCAAGATGATTCACAAGTAATTTAACAATGTCCAACCCTCTTTAAAGGGAGACAATTACATACAGACAAGTAACAATGTAGCCTTCACAATATCCAACATCCCCCAAGTTACTAGACATGTTGTGTTGACTTCTGACACCAACTACTCAAGTTGAGCCAAACTTCAGAGGTTTAGGACACAGTCCTCCACAAGACTGCCCTCACTTCAGATACAAGTAACTTCATGGGTCTCCAGGCCACACATACTTCTGAACAGCTCACTACAAATATGAGGGTTCCCACTAAATCTTCAGGTTCAATAATTCTCTAGAGCAACTCACAGAACTCAGGAAAGTAATATATTGATAATTACAGCTTTACTATAGCAAAAAGACATAAATCAGAGCTAGCCAAAAGAAGAGATTAGGTCAAGGGGGGTGGTCCCAAACATGAAGTTTTCTTGTCCTTTCCCCATGGAGTCAGGATCCACTACCTTCTCAGCACATCAGTGTGTGACAATTGCAGTGGCTTGCCTACCAGGAAAGCTCATCCAAGCTTCAGTGTCCCTATTTTTTATTAAGGTTTCATTCACAATTCATTGATCACCGGCTATGTGACTGAACTCAATCTCCAGCCCTGCTCTGCTCCTCAGAGGTCAGGCTGATATCACGTGGCTCAAATCCCAACCCTCTAATCACATAGTTGGTCATTCCGGCATGGCCAGCCCCCATTCTGAGTCATCTACTTAGTATAAACTATCAGGGCCCCCATGAACAGCAAAGATACTCTTATCACTAAGGAAATTCCAAGGATTTAGGGGCCACTTTCCAGAACTGGGGAAAGGGCTAACCAAATTCTTTTTTTTTTTTTTTTAACATCTTTATTGGGGTATAATTGCTTTACAATGGTGTGTTAGTTTCTGCTTTATAACAGAGTGAGTCAGTTATACATATATATATGTTCCCATATCTCTTCCCTCTTTGTCTCCCTCCCTCCCACCCTCCCTATCCCACCCCTCCAGACAGCCACAAAGAACCGAGCCGGTTTCCCTGTGCCATGCGGCTGCTTCCCACTGGCTATCTACCTTACGTTTGTTAGTATATATATGTCCATGTCTCTCTCTCGCCCTAACACACCTCACCCTTCCCCCTCCCCATATCCTCAAGTCTGTTCTCCAGTAGGTCTCTGTCTTTATTCCTGTTTTACCCCTAGGTTCTTCATAACATTTTTTTTTATAAATGAAATGAAAAATACTCTAGATGGGATCAATAGCAGAATAAATGAGGCAGAAGAACGGATAAGTGACCTGGAAGATAAAATAGTGGAAATAACTACTGCAGAGCAGAATAAAGAAAAAAGAATGAAAAGAACTGAGGACAGTCTCAGAGACCTCTGGGACA